AGTCGAATCGTTTTCGCTATTTAAACAGAGGCTTGTATCGCAAAATCCTACTAATTTTCTAAAATTCATTGTGAATATTTTTGCGGCCCGTTAACCTTCCACTTCATTCAAATCTTTCGCATTGACTTAGTATACTACGCTTTTCATCAATTTTTGTCGAAAATTAGCAAATTTTTTGGAACAGGGTGTTAGGTGAGGGATGGTTATCAACACTTGGTCCATTTTCGAAACGTTTCGTTCTTCCAAATACTCTTTGGATTGTGATATATGTGTGTAATACATTTTTTTTCGTAAAAGGTGGGGAGATATAAATATGTTTTTTTTTTTGCGAGAAAGCTAATCAGGACTAAAGCGGGAGGCGGACCATTCCAATTACTTTAACACAGTTATCCATATAAAGACGTTTCAAAATAAAGTTATGTAGGAGGCGGTCGAAAAAGTGGTCCGATAGAAACCATTTTCAAACACCACACACCAAAACACCTTAGGAAGTCAATTGACTTTTCAAAAATTACGACCTATAGATTGAACAGAAGCAAAGAAGAGAGACAGTCCCACAACCGTATTCTTGATCGGCATAAGTTGACCTACCTCATGGCCTTCAGAATGTTGCTTATATACACGTAACATTTATAAACTATTTTCTGGTAAACCTCATTAAAGAAAAACCATTATTTTCGAAAAATATATAAAAATGGCAACACTGGAGCTATTTTTGCTTGTCTCGACTTCAATCCCAATCTAAAAAAAACGTACTTAAGCCGAATGTCTTTACCTAGAAAATCACATAGTTAAAATTTTTTGGCCAAAACAAAGACAATCTTTTGTGAATAATAGACGTTTAAATCTTTACGGAAAACATAATATCAATACAATATTTAATGTTTTTTTGAAATGGCTATACTTTCTGTAAAAAGAAAACAGAGCCTATAACAGAGCCTCAGATGTTAGTGCTCATCCTACTGTAGTTCTGGAATTTATTTCTTTAATCTCAGGAAATTTTAATAGTAATAATAATAATAAATAAATCCTCGAAAATTGGCCACGAGGTGTTTTGGAATTTGTTGTCTAAAAATTTCAAAAGAAAGGGATGGAAATTGAAAGAATTGCTATGTGGGAAAGGGCATTTAAAGTCTAAAATATCTTTGCAATTCCAATTGAGTCAAGAGAGTTGAATCCTAATATTCAAGCGGACGAAACCAGAACCATTTCAATTACAAATTCATCGAAATAATTTGTAAATAGATCTCCTAAACTATCCTAAAAATCACAATTCAGAAACGTAAAATCACATTAATCTGCCATTCCAGAATCGTAAAGGCGGCCCTCCACGTGCAAATACTCTTTCTTAATCCCCTTCATCGACGTTAAAATCTCACCTTTTACACTTCACAAGCAGTAAAGTTGCAGCGGACATGAAAATGCGTAAAGCTATAATTAAATTCATAACCAATTCTAAGAACGTTATTCCAAACTTTTAATTTCTGGGCAGAAGCATTGACAGCTTTCGAAATAGTCGTAATGAAGTAGCGCTATCCTATTTCTGTTTGGGAATGTTCCTGAATGATCAGAAGTACTTTGTGAGGATAATTGCATTGGAGGAGTTAGAAATCATTGAGCAAGACATTAGAGTGACCCTTTTCAGCAGAGACTCATGTAACCTAAGCAGTCTTTTCTGAGCGCTTAGGCATAAAACCCGAGTTTCAAAGGGAAAATTTCTTTCAGACAACGAGTTTTTTTCTGCCTGAGGGAGACAATTTCTAAAAAATTTACAAAGGCCTCACTTTTCATGCACATACAATATGCATTCGAATTGACATGCTTAAAAAAAATCTACCCATGGTCAAGAAATGTGGAAAACGTTTATGCGTTTATAAGGTTATATAGAAATGACAGCTCTGTATAAATAAATATTCCCTCCCATAGCACTTCTATTTCTCTTCCACTTTCTATCTATCTATTTCTCTCTCTCTCTCTCTCTCTCTCTCCATTCCCGAGCAATCTTTCCTTCTCTCCTCTGTCGTTTGCTCCATGTCACTACCACTACATACAGATAGATGAGGATATTCCAGCAATGCCTGAGAATGGTCTGTACGCGATACCACTCATGCGAAACTTGATGCAAAAAGTCTTTTTCAGACGTCTATACACAGACACAGGGAACTAGCTGAGTGCATTTCGTAATACTCATTCGCACCTGAATGTAGTTTTACAACTTTCAGTTGTACATATATGTATATGTATATATATATATATAATCTCTACAAGCATTATTCCTCTATAAGCTTTGAAGTTTCATTCCCAACATTTTTCTCCCCTCCTCTCAGTCTTTCTTTGGGTTCGAATTCACCCAAATTTATAATTAACTAATATATTAAAGTCAATACTTTTTCGACTACCTAAGTTCCATTTATGTGTGTGCCTAGATACTTACACACTTATTTGAACGGTTAGAGAAATTTATGTTTCTTTTTTTTTTTTGCGTTGCTCCCTTCCATGCAATTAATTGGGTTCACTTTTGTTTGTTATCAATGCGGTAAATATTTAGATGATGTATTCATTTGTTCATATGCATGTCATCACAATCTAAATTAAATCAATTATTTACATACATCGCGCGTTACAAAATTGACAAATTGATTACGTTTTCTTTCCGAATAGTGTAAAGTGATTGAGACTGATGACAGCATTATTATAATTTCTTTTTTTTTTTTTTTTGTTTTAATTATTTTCGAGAGATTTTCAAATCATGTTTTTTTCTTTTGTTCGCAAATTTTTAAACGCGATTACTGTCAAGAATATAATCATGATATAGAAATTTATAAAAAAAAAATTCGATAAATTTTTGTTTTTGAAAAGAAACGAATTTAAGAGGAATAATAAAAATTAATCGTTGTTTAGTCAGCGAATTGGCACGTGAATGAAGTTCTCGATTCTTTTGCATCGTTTCGTGGGCCGCTTTTTAAATCTTTGTAAACGATCACTCGACTTTTCGGCTTTTCGCCTTCAAAATCTTTCGCCAAAAGTGTTGGTTTCTTCTTCTTGTCGCTATCAATTTTTGCCGGAAATTCTTGTTTTTTTTCACTTTTTATTGTTCCCACAACTGTCCTCTGCCTGCAATTCCAAAACTTTTCTACAAAAAAGCGTAATTCCAGTGTGAAACATAGATCTTAAAAGCGTATTTAGGAAGCAAGGCTTTCTGGCACTCTAAGAAACAAAGTACATCCGATGTCTTAATTCCGAGTGCTATTTACGCGGATGAGAATTGTTCCCTCTTGTTTAGAAAAATTTCTATCCAAATTAATGATGCCGGAGAAGCGTCAAAGGGTCCCATAGGTGTTCTTACCTTTCCTTCTATTATTCTCTGATTTAAATAAAACTCCTACCAATTCTCATTTCAATAATCGAATCTCTCATAAATTAAACGTTTACGTAGTTAGACAAATTTCATATTTAGGAGCCTATCGTCGCCTAAAATGCTCCATTGTCGATGGTCGCCGTACGGTAAGGCTTGTCGTTGCCCTGATTAATACCAATTCAGCAACAGTCGCGTGGGATTTTATCGGATGGACATGGATTTTATTTTATCTCTACGTCTTACGTCTTCTTCTTCTCTTAGGGTCGGATTTGCACTGCCAATCGAAGGTGTTCCCGCCTCTCTTCGTAGAGGCGATTCATTATTGGCCAGTGTCGTGCTGCCGCCTTTACGGAACATTAAACATCGAATTAGGTAAATAACTAAACAACTGCACTTAAGTACTATAGGAATATAATATGTAGGCAGAATAATGGTCTACGTAACTAAAAAACTATACTCGAGTGAAATAAACAATATACTACTATATACAGATAGAAGGAGCGTCTTAAAATATGTGTAAGACTAAGACGACCAAAGTCACCTTTGGTCCTTACTGCATTCATACATTTAGCCGATCGTTTGTGGATAATATTTTCTTAAGCATTGCGAAGAACGCAAATATGAATAAATCTGCCCCTCACTTACCTTGATGAGATCGATATGTTAGCATACTTGATGGGCACTTCGTAATCTAGAAAATTATGAAAAGCTCTCATTATTTTAAGAAATTCCGAACTAAATAGTAATCACGAGTGAATGACAATTTCAAATAAGTTCCCCTTGCTTCCAACGGATAGAACGAAACAGAAAGTGAAAGTTCCCCTCGTACTTTGAGTAAAGTTTGAACGAGTGATTAAGTGATTGATTGCTGAATGATTGAAAAAAGTTTTCTTTTTTTTTTTGTCCATGAAGGGAAATAAGTTGACCTCGTCGTATAAGAAAAAGAAAAAAAAATGTTGTAAAAAATCCATGGATGGCATGCAAGAGCAATTAAAAGTATTTAGCATTTGTTTACATAATGCTGGCAAGTGTTTATGGTTTTTGTATGAATTTTGTTATGTTGTTGTTGTTTTTGTTTTTAATGATTTGTTGTTGCTTTATAAAGTAGTTGTAAGTTTGTTTCTCATTCAAATTTAGTTAACAAAATTTGTTTGTTATGTGTTACATTTGTATTAGTGTTGTTTTAGACACACTAATAAACACATAAACACACACTCATACTCACATTCATAGCCCTACATAAACACGCTAATGTTGACGTTAAACGTTAGTTCAAAAAATTTTACAAAAATGTGTTTTGTTTTATACACCAAAAAAAAAAAAGAAATAAAAACAAAAAAAAAATAAATAAAAAACTAAAAATAATAAAAAATTCTGTTGGTTGGGTTTTGAAAATTTTCACAATTTTTCCTGAAATTTTTATTTTTCCTTTTTATTTTTCTTCTCTACAAAAAAAAAAAAAAACAACAAAAAAAACAAAAAAAAAAGGAAAAAATAAAAAGTAAAATTACCTTTTGCGTATGTGTTTTTGTTTCGGTTCTGTTCTTAATTTTATTTTTTCGGTTTTGCGATATGCGTTAATTTACAACAACAATATCAATTAAATTGAATATATGCACCATTGAACGAATATGAATTTCAGTTTCTTAATATGGCCTCGGTGTTTATGAGAATCTTCAATT